ATAGCAGCAGATGACTGTTGACATCAAACCAGGTCACATCATGGTGCTGTGTGTGTCTTGTGTAGTCACTGTGGATATTGTGGATGTTCAGGTTTTTCTTCTTCTTTCTCAGGACGAACTCTTGCTGTCTGGAGCAGAATCAAGATGGCGGCTGCTGAAAGAGGCTCTTCCTGGAGTGGAAAAACTGAAAGTAGAGTCCAGTATCCTTTACCTCCAAGATCCACTGCAGCTTCCTCCACCATCAGCTGTGCTGTGGGATGATGATTGAATACACAGAGATCCGTTCCCCTCCAACATTTCACAAACACTTCGATGACTGAGAGAAATGTGTCACTGTTCAGTTTCTCAAGCTGATGTTGTTTTATCCTTGTAGACTGTTTTTTTTTTTTTTTTGCTGTTTCAAATGAACTAATCCAAACACACACATGCATGAGTCACCTCTATCAGTGAGGTGGTTTATGTTAGGTTGTACTCTTGAATTGAAACCGGTGACATTCAGAGTTAAACCAGTGAATACATTTATTAGATGGCAATAAGAAAGAAAACCAGGGAAGATGTGTTTGAGTGATAGTCTGCTAGATTTAAAGAGATCGCTCTCCACAGTCATGAATCATACTTTAATGTTCAAATGTGCAAAAACAGATTAGTCAAGACGTGATGATCCCAAAGGTAAGATCTGACATTGAACAGCAGTTGAGAGTGACGACCAGATTTATTAAGTAAATTAGATTCAATGCAAATGTAGAGAAGTACACATGTGTACTCGTCTTATAACTTCAATGTATTGAATGAAGGGAAAGCGTAAATATGAATCAAACATGTATCAAGATCAAACCTCATCATTTCACAAGATCAAACCAATACAAACAAAACGGTCTTTCATAAACATGTGTGAAGTCCATTAGTTTATCATACAATTGTATTTAATTTTGGCAGTCTGATTTGTTCTCCGAGTTGTTCTTTTCTTTAAGCGACCCTCCAGATTGTGAAGAACTGCTGGAGAATTGTAGTCATCTAATATCAACAGCTGAAGATGTGCCTGATGAAAATCTGTACAAGCTTAGACTGACAGACATGGCTTTAGACGCTTCCATTCAGCTGGGGCTCTGGGAGAAGGCTTTGAGATACGGCGAGTTAACACTTCCAGTATACAGGTGAGTCTGTGTGCGTCAAACAGGCAAGCAAGGAAAAACAAAACTTGTAATAAAAAAACAACTTTTACTGCCTTGTATTTAAACCTGGTATAAGTTCTCAGATTTAGGGACGGTTCCTTCTTGACTCTCGTTTGCACAGCAATGTGAAGAAAAGGACAACAGTAACTTCTCATGAGTGCATCTAAAGTACAACTCCCTTAGAGGTAGACTTGAATAACTTTTTTTTCCATTGAAGATTTTTACTTCAAAGTTCTGGCTTTAGAGATTTGGGCTGCTTCTGTTTGCTGATTCCTTCATAATCGTCAAAACCATTCCAGACAGTATGGGTTTGTTATTTTGGACACAGAAGAAAAGCTGGAGATTCTCAGACTGATGATGATGTGCAGAGAAACAGTCGTGTCAAAGCAAGGTTAAAATGTAAAGGGGAAAACTTTGTGTATTCATGTGATCACGAGAGATAACCTGGTATGGATCTTTTGCTTGTTTTGTAGTTTGAACTTGAGAGAATGAACTCTGAAAGCAGAGACTCAGAGAGTGTTAAAAAAACTCTGTTACACCTGTGGAGGGAAATACACCTCAGTTGGGTTTGTTAGTTCAGAGAAGACATGACTGAGGGGAAAAGATTCAACAAATATTTCAGAGTGCCTGAGAAATCTAAGTGCATTGCAACTTTATAGTAGAAAAACATAATCAAACAAGCAGAGCATGTCATATCATATCAACTCAAATAAAACACAAGCAAAAACTAATTCAGAAACTCACTGACTGATTTGGCAACACTCTATGGCTTACAGAAATGTTCCACAAACAAATGAAATCATGCAACTTTTACTCTGCAGGTCACACAGCACACTGTGGTAGCCTGCTGATGAAATGACAAATCAACATCATTTAGTCATTTTGTGAGGAGAACTACTGTTAACCTACAAATAACAATAATAGCTGCAGCATTCATGATATGGAATGTTACCTTTTCAGCTTCATGGTACTGCTATCTATCTACCAGCTGCTCAGGTAAAGAGAAGGCAGGCTTATAGGGTCAAGCAGCAAATCCCAAAATAATTATGAAAATGTTGATGAAAAATGTCTCTGTTATTGGTGACCTGATTCATTTGACCTATAAGCACACTGTGCACTAGAGGTGGGAGAAAAAAAAACGATTTATGTAAAAATCGAGATTCTTATCTTTTGAGATTTTTGGCTGATCAGTCACTCCCTGCTAAGGGCTAATGCTAGCTCTTTAACTCAGTAGAATGACAAATAGAGCAGCAAGAAATTCAGCCAGTCTCACAGACAACTGAAGTAGATCCTGAAGTATGTACTAATTTAAAAATAGACTTTAAATCATGAATCCGGAAATGTTTTGAGTCGAAAAGTAAATTCTCTATCGAATCGTGACCCCAAAGATCGAAATTGAATCAAATCTTGAGACACCCAAACATGGTGCAAACCATGACCTTGTGTTCAGAAAATTTTATTTCTAAATGTAACTAAAGTAGGACCAAAAGTTGTTACGGCATGTTCTCAAAATAAAAAGGAAAAGAAGACATGAAAATGGGTGGTAACAGGAGTAAATGAAAAAGAAAGAGGGGGCTAAAATAAAGATAAGATTTTAGTTGTATGTACATGTGACAACAAAGTCAACCATCAGTCTAAATTCAAATCTAGATAAGGATCTCAAACCCTTCTAAATACTTCTTCTTCTACGCTGGTCTCTCCATCTCATCCTTATTCCAGTTCACTCTCCTGTGTGTATGAGTGTGTAAGACTAATCAATCTGGTGTGAAGGGCAGAGCCCTCTCTCTCTCTCTCTCTCTCTCTCTCTCTCTCTCTCTCTCTCTCTCTCTCTCTCTCTCTCTCTCTCTCTCTCTCTCTCTCTCTCTCTCTCTCTCTCTCTCTCACAGTCTGTCCACAGGAGAAAAAGAGTAGTGCAGCCTATCAATAAATAAAGCAGACACAGAGCAGCAGAAAGAGAGGGATGAGGGGATGGAGAGATGGCTGTCAGCTGAAAATGATAAGTCCGTTTCAAGGAAGGAAGGGGTGGGGGGCGGGGATGGATGTATGAAAAATGGGAGGGAGTCAGAGGAGTTTAGAGTGATCAGCAACCTGATAGAAAACAGAAGAGGGAAGAATATCTGATAGAAAGTAAAATGAAAACGACAGAATCTGAAGGTTAAGATAGTGGGTATAGGGGATGCACCGAGGGGAGGCAACAATGAAAGAAGAGTGAAAGAGCGAGTGGGAGGAGGATCTTCCATATTCATCTCCTATCTTCCTCTGGGCTCTTCAGATGGCTGAGAAGAAGAAAGATAGCTGCAGGAGTTCTCGATCTCTTTTCCTGTCCTTCCCCTCATTCTGTATTCCTTTCTTCTCCCCCTCTGCTCGTCTCTTTACCATTTCTCTGTTCTGTTTGGGATGTAATGCAGGGTTTTCTTTTTGAGCCTGTGTGCGCATAATGCACATCGACTGCAGCCTGTGCACGGCGGGTTTATTGAATGTTTCCATTCTGCAGATATTTCCCCGCTACAGACATGCTCACACACATTTCATGAATATGAGAATGAATGCACATTCACGTATTTCTGAAAAACATCCCTACAGAGACATCAACAAGTGAAGTCTGTTACGGCTTGCACCTCAACCACTCTAGCAGTATTAAGAAAAGTTATTTTGATGTATCTCAGCTCCCCTGATGCATTTGGGTCCTTGTGTTATATTGTTTCACCTTCTTTCTGAAGGAAAGCATGCAAACAAAAAAGATTGAAATCCCATAGATGGAAATAAAACTTTTCCATTAAAAAAACAGCTTCATTCATTTCCTCGAAAAATAATTAGCATAGACTTCTCTCTCCAGCTATGCACCCTTTGCCAAAACATTCAGCAGTTTAATAGAAGCAAGTCTGTCACAAGAGATAAGATTTGTGAAGCATTATTGGCCTCAGCAGAGCAGTGAGGTGTTCACAGCTTTTCAGTCTTCATGACTAGAATCTCATAAACAAGCATCATTATAACAAAGTACTTTCATTCAGTGAACCAGAAGAAGGTGAATTTAGGAAAAAAGAAGGTATGTACGAAAATATTAAACATGTCTTCAAATAAGCTGCTTTGAAAAGCACAAACTAATGACCAGTATTACAGTTCCAAATGTCGTTGGAAATCTGTCTGGTTGCAGAAATGTCGGAGCAGTATTTGTACGACATCAGAACTGGCTGCTTTATTTCTGCTCTGGGCCTTAAGAGGGTCTAAGAAGACACGAGATTCTTCAAAACTAGGCAAGAACATAAATGTGGGAATATCACTGAACTGACAGGAAAATTAATTTTGATTTTGTTGTCTGATTTTTCTTTCCCGGATGTTTTTGGGAAGGTTTATCCTTTGGTTTATAAACAGTGCATATGGTTTGCATGGTCTTGGCTCGGTCTCACTGCCTTGGTTTTGGTTTCTGACTGAGTCTTGATACAGTATTGACTTGGATAAGGAGGTCTTGACAACAGTCTTGACTCTGCCTAACCTTCTATCCATCTATAAACAGGCAAAAAGGTGGAGCTATAGTACTGAATACTGAATTTATTTTATTTAATAGGGACAATGCAATTTAACATAATTTCAATACAAAGCATGAAACTGATATGCTGTATAAAGAGTATATAGCTATTGCTAATTTCCAACTCGTGTCCCCAGTCGGGCCTTTGTGTAAACAAACAGATTAAAATGTACAAAATTCAGTTACATAAAACCCAAACACGATATGAGGATACATTAAAATACATATACAACAATACAAATGTTATGAACCAGTTTAAAATAAAGTTTGAAGATATTAATTAAAAGTGGGTACAGCTCTGGCTTACTTTGAGCATTTCACCTGTTTTGTAAAATATTTTAAGTCGGACATTAATTTTATTTCAGGTGGCAATGTGTTTGCAGCCTTTGATGGAGAAGGCTGATTGACCAAACGTAGATCTACGATTTTGTACGCTACGGTCTCCATTCACAGTGCTTCTCGTTACCCTGTTTCCGTCCAGTTTTCGAACATATCTGGAGAGAGGTTCAGGGGCCAGATTGTTGATACATTTAAAAACAAGTTTGAAGAAATATAACTGCATAAAGCTCTCAAAACTAAGTAGATTGTGTTTTTTCAATATGTGACAGTGATGCCAGCGGACAGGTTTTTTGTCCATTATTTTCAGGGCCTGGTTGTATAGTGATGAGAGGTTTCTGATTGTAGAGGGTGAAGCTTGTGACCAAACTGTCATACAGTATGAGAAATGAGAGAAAATCATTGAATGCATGAACACCTGTGCTGCTTGAGTTGGAATGTAGTGTCTTATTAATTTAAAGCAGTTCAGATTGTTCTTGATTGTTTTTGTGATTTTATTTACGTGTTTATCAAACTTGAGTTGTGGATCTAAAATGATTCCTAAGAACTTAAACTCAATAACTTCCTCTATTTCTCTATTCTGTATCTTAACGTTAAAACTTCCAGGTGAGCACTTTTTCCTCATGGAGAAACACATTGAAACTGTGTTTACTCTGATTCAAAACAAGATGGTTGCATTCCAGCCACTGATGGACATTGCAAAGGTACTCAGTTAGGATCTCGGCTGCCTTGCTTGGTGACTTAGCAGGGGCATATATAACTGCATCATCTGCATAAAGCTGGAAGCCGGCTACTGGACAGGATTTAGGCAAATCATTTATAAACAGACTGAAAAGCAAAGGGCCAAGAATTGACCCTTGGGGAATACCCATTTTATTGATTAAAGGAGAGGATTTTTCTTGGTCAACTTTCACACACTGCTCTCCATTCTGAAGGTAAGACTCAAACCAGTCGATTGAAAGATGGTTACTTAGACAGGAGAATGTCATGGTTGACAGTGTCAAATGCCTTCTTTAAGTCAAGAAACACAGCTCCAACAACATAACCACCGTCAAGTGAATGCTTTACATTCTCAATGAAAAAACAATTTGCAGTTTCTGTTGAATATTTTGGTCTGAAA